ATGACCTATGGTGATTTGTCATGGTAAATTTAATGCTCAGACTGAGTCAATGGGTATATGGTACCTATACGTTGAAACACTAATGATTTGGTAGTTGTAAAAGACTAATGACATTTCAATATTCCCAGGTATTATTATTATCATTTTGAATTATTGTAGTAGGTCCTCTATCTGTAATCTGTATGTATACTTATTATTGTATTTGTTGAATAGATAGTCATCTAATTATACAAAAATACACGATGGCTTGTAATATTGATCAATTTTTGGATCAGAGTACGCCGAATAACGAACCATTAAGAGGAAAATACATGAAGTAAGATTTAATACATTTTATATAACAAAACTAAAATTAATTCTATTACCTATGTATACACACAATTTTGTTTGTTGAAAATAAATTTACTTGTAGATATTATTTTTTTTAAGTGTATATTGTAAATTATGATTGAAATCTATCAATCAATCAGTAATTTTATACAGTTTTGAATGATATTATGTATAATAATATATATTATACAATGAATGATGATAGCAAATCTATGATTTAAATTTAAAAATACTTGAAATTGATATTAATTTTACAGAAGTTTTGGTTATCATTCCCTAATGCATAGAATGCCGACCGTATTTTCTGAAATAACTGGGTTATTAAAAGCCCACCAATTGAATGCGGTAAGAAATTTATTTGTTTATAGTTTCTATGCATGCATATATTTATATATATTTTGTTTTATCCATTTAAGACTAATAACGTTTCTTATTTCTAAACAAATCTTAAGATATTGGATATACTTGGCTTTGTAACATAATTCAAGTCTTTTGTAAAGCATTGAATATAAAAATTAGTTAGGTATTGTTAAGTTATCACTGTATGAAGTAATTACAAAACTATTAAAGGTATTCATTATGTATATTTATATATTTGTTTATAGGCGAACAAAGAAGAAATAAACAAAGTTGTTGACAAATTGGAACTATTACTTTCTGAAATACTGAACAATAATCCTCTAAGAAAAATTGATAGTACTTCTACATTATCATTGATGTGGAATAAAATTCTAGAAAAAAAGTTTAATTCAGATTCTGTTGTAACATGGTTTGATACAGAATGGCTTCTTACTGAGAATTATATGTACATAAGAATAAAAGAGATCTTTGAAAAAACGTAAGTTAAAATAATGAATGAACATACATAAATTCTAATTAATTATGTTTAATGTACTTGCCTCAACAGAAAATTATTACAAAATCATGACCCTTTTCAACAGCTAAAGTACAATGCTTTTGATGAATCCGAGACAACTATGATAGCTATAGCGGAATTTTTAATTTTACAATTTTCCAAGAAAGAATTAGATAATACAAGTTTAAAAGCACTTTTTATGAAAATGTTAAAGGTGTGTTTTATATAATTAAATTTGTTATATTTAATGTAATGATAAATTATAGTTATCAAAAAATATTTTGATGATCCCTTGCATTTAGAAAATAGTTCAATATATTCACCAACCAATTATTTTTCTTTCGACAGATTTCTTTGTGGGGAAATAGATTTGATTTGTCTCTTAACATTGGAAAATCAAAAAACATTACTGAAGATCCATTAAAAGCAATTGAGTCCTTGGATAAGTATATATTGGCTGATCATTCAGACGAAATTTGGAACACTTTGAATGTTTCAAGTAATAAAAATCCCAAAACAATAGGTAAATAATGGCATTCGATAAAATATTATTGAAACTATGTTTTTGTTTTATAATTATACTTAAGTAGACTGATTAGTCTATTGCTTTTTTTCTGTATTTGTACTATTGTATTGTTTGATATACTTAAATTTAAATTAATTCAATAATTTCAGATATTATTTTGGATAATTCGGCTTACGAACTTTTTACGGATATGTGCTTGGCAGACTTTTTTGTTACTTATGGATTTGCCGAAGTTGTTGTCTTTCACGGGAAATCCATCCCTTGGTATGTCTCAGATGTTACAAAACCAGATTTTAAACATTTTTTAAATAGTTTAGAAAAAGAATGCTCATCAAGTGCCCTTCAAAAAATTGGAAATAGATGGAACAATTATTACACAACTGGTAAATAATAGTATAACATTTAATTTTTGAAAATAACTACTTAAATATTGATGTTTGTTTTTTAATTGTACACTTTAGGTAAATTTGTGATTGAGTGTGAGGAGTTTTGGACTTTACCTCACTGTTATTCGGCAATGGCCACTGAAGATTCTGAGTTATACAACAAATTAGCTAGTTCCCAATTATTAATATTCAAAGGTATTATGAAAGCAAGAGTATGATTAAAATTTTTTTGTTTAATTAATTTATAAAAAATGTATAGATTTAAAAGAATTTAATATGATTCTGTTTTGTTGAAATCAGATAATTTGTTTTATATTTCATGAAAACTAGACATAGCTTTTCATTAGAAGCAATTTGATAAATATATTATATTTTTTTTGTATTTTTTTGTAGGATAAAATATTTTAATGTGATTGTATATTGTTTATTTTGATTATTATAGGCGATTTAAATTACCGAAAATTAATTGGAGATATCAATTGGGAACCATCAACTGCATTCAAAGCTGCCTTATGTAGATTTCAACCTACAGCTGTGGTAGCTTTACGTACATTAAAATGTGACTGTGTATGTGGCCTGAACTCTGACTATGAAACCAAAATTGATGAAAATGATAAAGACAAAAATTATCTTAGTTCTGCTAATTATTGGCAAGTTAATGGCAAATATGCTGTTGTACATTTAAGTAAATAACAAGCATTTTATTTCTTCCACAAATTAAATAGTATATATAATATTTCCAATTTTGTATTTGTTATTGCATTGCATTGAAATGTATAGTAAAACTATATTATTAAAGCTTGAACTTATGCAAGTTGTAACTTGAATATTGTTTTGTTACTATAATGTATTTTTAATGAAGCATTTTATCTATTTCATCATATCTTTTGTTTTTTTTATTTTGAAGAATAAATTTCATCAAACTAGAAGATTAATTTGTAAAAAGTTGAATTGTGCATAACGAAAAAACGTGACATAGAAGTGGTGTCGCAAATTTACAATTATTGGTATATCTGGCATTAAAATTACATTTTAAAGACATAACAAATTAGTAAAATGTAAAGATTTATTTGTTAGAATAATCATGATGTTTGATTAATAATCATTCATATTTGATAAACTTTTAAACTAAATTTGTACGTGTTCAAAATACAATTTATCAACATTATTGGAAGAATATAAAATTACTGATTATTCAGATACTGAAAAAGGAAAACTGTTGAAATAGTACATTTTGATAATCTATTATTAGCAACATTAGAGCTACATCAAAATTACCGTCGATATTAGAAAAATTGACAATATTCAACTCGATATTTATGAAAATATTTTCAGAGAAACTTTTGTCACTATTTGAAGGAAATCAATAAAAAGTGACATCTGGAGTAAAATATACCATATTATTACCATTATCTCTTTAAAATGACACATGATATTGTTTTAACTTGCAAGGCTGGTAAAGTCGAAACCACATAATAGGGTCACATATGTGTCAGTACTGCCATATTTTCCAGTTTTCCACCAAATTATATATTTAATTTTTCTTACAAAATATTGTATTTAATTATTAATCCTTGCTCCTAAAATTTTCAAATATTTTTGTTTTAGATGTAAACTGGTTGACAATGGCTGAAGCTTGTTAGTATTTTATTTTGTATTATATTAGATTTAAGTAGTACAAAAAGCAAGGGCAATTGGGAGGGTTGGGCATGGTCTCTATCTCCCTCTAAGTAGTTAATGCTAATAATTGTTTTCCATATTTTGTAAAAAAATATTATGTGCTGTATTATCAGAGATTTTTGACTTTGCTCCCCCCCACGGTTTATTGCGAGCGCCTTTCATAAAAAGTTAAAATACAATGTCTGAAAATTAAAGTAATATCATTAATCATTATAATTTATAGGTATAATCGCAAATAATAGTTTATTTATAAACTTATCCGTGGTGTTAATATAAAAAAAAGGAGAGGCGTAAATACAAATATAATTGTATGGGTGTATGAAGTATTGAAGTTAAAATGTTGACAACATTTGTTAAAATCATGAAAACTTACAATTTATTTTGAGTTTCTAATTCAATAAAAATTTCTATTTATATCTAAGATTTAATAATTTAATTCAATGATTCTTCATACATTTTTCTACCTTGAACAAGAAAAAAAAATGGCCTGAAAATCAAACTAATTTTTATTTGTATCAGTTAAAATGTTTTCGACATTGACTCGATTTCTTACAGAACGATTTTTTAATTTTATTGTTAATTCTATTACCAATAAATGTAAATACTAGAAATTTTAAGAAAATGTTACTTTTACCATTTTCCATACATGATGTTTTCAAAATGGTTTGACTCGTTTTGACTTTTGAGCTATTTATATAGATATTTGAAATTTGAAATAGGTACCTACTTAATATGTTTTTTCCTATAAATGCCGTCCAAAGTTTTTGTTGGGTCAAAAAGCTTGACAATTTACTACGAGTAGGTAATAAAAGTAGGTTGTAAAAGTTGTTACAATAGAAAAATATTGATCATCTACAAGCAATCATGTTTTTGCTATACTAATTTAAAGTTCAGATTCGTATAGGGAAAGATGTTCTACCTACGCGCGATTTAAGATATATTTAAGATATATTTAAGATATATCTTAAACCGTGGTTCTACTACAACAAAAACAGTCGGGGGAGGGGGGAAATGTCTATTTACTACGATCACAAACCAAACAAGAAATCTGTGCAACGATTTACTGACTAAACCATAGGACCCATGTTTATAATATCTTGACCTCATCCACAGATATATAAAAATATTTTTATATATCTGTGTTTTTATCTCGATGAAAAAAATTAAGAAACTTATTATTGATATTCGATAATGATATCATCGTAGTTCGTGATAATGGCTGATAGACGATAGTTCGTAATCATTCTAACTCTATGTCGATCATCGTTAGTAAATATTGAATAGTAAATACTAAATATTAAATTCTTAATAAATTGTAATAAGCATATTATTATATTTTATTAAAATTGTTTTCTACTTGCACAAGTCACGGTAGCAGTATAGTAGGGATTTCATACGTTTGTTTGTGATTTGAAGTATAGTGGATCATGTCCAAAGACAAAATCCAAGAGGGAAGGGAGTGTATGGACAAAGCTGCGAAATAGTAAACGAACTGTTTTTTTAATATTATTTCGCTTAAACCTATTAATGGTTTCTTTATTGATTGACACATAATTTGTTATTTCGTTTCTAGTCTGAAGACATCTTTGTTGAAATGGGTTCCCGATTACGACAGTGCGGCCGATGAATACTCAAAAGCAGGTAGGTACATTAAAAGTAACTTTTATATGATTGTGCAGTCGGTAGGGATATCTGTTTGCTTAAGTGTTCGATGGGATTTCAAAAAACATTTCAAGAATTTGCTAAGTTGATTATGAACTTTGGAGAGGCAGTTATAACTTTTAATAGGTATCAAAATAATTTTTTGTTATTATTTAATTTCTTAAATTAATTTCTCAAATTCTTGAGTAGTATTTGAAAAAATTCAATTTCTGAGTGTTTACGGTAATAATTATTTTAGGTAGCAATGTTTAGATATTCTTGTCCTTTAATTTTTTCATTACCAGATTTATATAAACTGTTAGTTCATTTTTTAATGATTTCAAATTGTCAACCCTAATTTAAATATTAGGTCAAATTATCCTCTCCCACATTTTAAATTAATTTTTGAATTTTCTTCTGACTTAAGAGCTGTAAATAATTTAAATATAGTCAAGTGTCTACAGCGGTTTAACTAAAACTTGTTCCTGAAAAAGAATAAAGAAAAATTCTACAGTTCATTTTTTTCAGCTACTTGTTTCAGAGTTGGAAAATCATATAAGGAAAGCAAGGAATGTCTTATGAAGGCATCAGAAAATTATTTACAAAATGGATCGTATCCTTTGCTTACAACTAATATTATAACTGTGACATGGAAACTTATAAAAATATCTTGTCGTGTAAACTTTACTGCAGCTTGCAATCTGGTGATTATGGCTGCATGTCGGGTATGTGCTCTACCTATTTGCTTCTACTTAGTAGAATAATTCTAAAATAAAAGTATCTTATAAATATGAGTGGAGTGTGTTTTGAGGTCTTGAGGTAGAGCGCATATACAACAAGATAGAACACATTTTTTATAAATTTATCTTAATATTATATGTACTAGACTTTTTCATGCTGCTAAGTAAGTTACCTACTCTGTTTTTATTTTTGTTATTCAAGACTGATAATATTTTTGTTAAGGTGTATGGATCAGGCTATTATTATGTCTAAGGAGATGGGTGACACAAGTGACGTGTTTAAATTGGCTATGAAAGCCAGTCACTATTACCAGCAACATGGATCCTCTGGAAGCGCATCATTATTGTTGAACAAAGTTGCAGACATGTTACAACAATCAGATCCAGAATCAGCCATAAAGCTCTTAAAAGAAGCTTCAAACATTTCTGGGGTATGTTGAAAAAAGCTTTCATTTTTGTCCATGTCACAACATTTGATTAAGCTGTTTAGAATGTAGCAAAAACTTTTATTTAGATTATTTGGAGATAAAAATATTTTTAGATTGAAGATTCGACTGGACAAGCAATGGAATACACACACAAAGTAGCACGACTGTTGGTAAAATTGAAAAGGTAGTAAGAAACAAGAATATTTCTTATTCGGTGCATTATTTATATAGATTCGTAGTACCTACTCAAAATTGTGTTTTTTTAGGTATGAAGAAGCTGAAAATGAAATAAAACGTCAATTTGATCTTATTGCGGAAGGAGGTCCTACCTCCAACATGGGCAGAGTAACTGTTGAACTTTTTTTACTACAATTGGATAAAGATGATTATGTGGCTGCTAAAAAAGTGTTGCATGAATATGGAATGCAATATTGTGAACAAGCAGAGGTACATTGCAATACTTTTGTTGTGACAAGGTTCAACACTAACTTTTGTATGTCATTAGATTTATATGCTTGACAGCATTGTAAACGCATACTCCGATCATGACTGTGCTCAAATTCGGAAAATGTTAAACAGTCCTTTTATTAAGCACATGGATGTTGAGTTTGCAATACTCGCTAAGAGTTTGGCCGAAAAATGGATAGTGGAACCTGTATGCTATTATTATTACTATTATATGTCTTATTATTGTTACAAAATTGAATTTATTTATATTTTATAAATATTTTTTCATAATTATTAAACTTATAAAAAGAGCAAGTTACCAATACTGAGAATAAAGAGACAGATGAGTCACCAACAGACTTTGGAGGAACGCTTTGTTGAAGCAGAAATTACATTTTTATATTCTACCCTATTTATTCAAATTATACTTGTTTCTTAGGTTGAAACAATTAAGGCTTATAAAAAAATTATTAGTCCTATAAATCTCAGGTTAGTGTATGTCTTAAATATTAAATGTATATAATAATATGATCTTCATTTTAATAATATGCGATTTCGTTAAAATGTAGCTGATAAACAATATCAAATAGAATTTAAACAGATAAAATAACAAATAGTTTATTTCATTCAAATTTCAAAATTGCTCATTAAAAATATATATTATTTTGGTAGTCAGAATATTTAATATCCATTTACTTGCATACAAAAAAATTTATTTTGGCACGGATTATTTTATCAAAAACCAAATGATAACTATAAGTTATAATCACAGAGTAACTCTGTGGTTATAATTAATGAATCATAATTGTAAAAAAATCAAACATAAAATGAAACTGAAAAGACACTATTATTTATTATCATCTAAGAGCTTATTATTTTTAGAATTTTTGTTTCTTGAATTGTTCCAATAACAATGAAACATTGCCATTTATATGTTTTCGATTATTTTTTTAGGTATATGCTTTTGAGGTTGAATTGTTAGTTGTTATATAATAATTGTTATTTTTTATTGTGCATTTTTGTAATGTAGTTAATTACTAGAATTTAAAATTTATTTACTATAATCTATGAAACCATTTAAATTAATGTTTATAACACATAGTATATCACTATTATATTTATATAGTATTTATCACAGTTTTGTAACATTCCAAATTAATTACATAGTATAATGTATATTTAAATTTCTTTTTACATACCTAACTTTGTTCAGTATAAATCCAATAATGTTATTTTAGTTTGTTTTTTATGTATTTAACTTACCAATTATAGTAAATACTCAAAATAATATTTTTTGACTAGAAAAATATACACAAATAAAGAGTTATTTATAAGAATAATTTAATTGTATACAATCTTATAGTTTTAATACAAAATATATTATACTTTCTAAATTTGTTTGAATATAATATTATTGTTCATTTAATAAATATATAATATCGAACTGACGAGTTTATTTTTCTCAGTCTTATCACAGTGCGTATGAATTATTTCACCTCTTGTGTAATGTGCAATCCTAACACAAGAGGTGAAATAATTCAAAAAGAAAGAATAACCTCTTTCCTACACAATGGACAGTAATTCAACAGTCCCATATCTATAATTGTTGCGTTGCGTTTGCATTGTCTGCAACACCAAAGAGATTTTATATCTATCAATGGCTGACCCGTAACAATGCTGGCTTCTGGTTTGGTTTTACATCTCGGGCATTTCAATGACCTGCAACATATACAAAAGATCAAACCACTAAAGTGTGCATATTACATTGGGTACATAAAAATGTGAAAATAAAAATACCAAGCTGGGAAATTGTCCAAACAACTGTAACATTGAATGAATAACGGAGTAGAGTCTTTAGGAGCATACTTGCTAAATATGATCAATGACAATTGATGGTAATTTTTTTTCTGAAAAAGAAAATTGAACAAACTCAACATTTTATGGAACTTGTAAACACACAAATTGTTACTTACTGTATCTATAGTCTCAAGTTTCATGAAAGCTCTAGATGCAATATTAAATGAGCCGTTTGCTATTGCTGCCAATGCTATGATCGAATATACTTGTTCTATGTTTAACATATCTTCATAGTTGCGAAGGGTTAACGATGTATAAAGGGCCAAATGAAAGTCCCCAAAAACATTAAGTAGACAAAATATAAATATTGTGCACATTTTTCAGAATATTACTTGTTGATTGATTGGAGTATTAATTACCGTTATATAGTTGTTGTTGGGCAAGTATAAAAAAATGTAAAGATTCGACTATGCGCCAACTGT